ATCCCTGCCTCTGTCCCTCTTTCTGACACTTCATCTGTATTCCTCACATGTCTTCTTCTTCACTAATGTCTTCATCTCCTCCTCTTCCTCCTGCTCTGACCCTCCTGGTCTCTTCAGTGAACTCTCTTCTTCTTTCTGTTCATCCTGATCACTTCTCAGATATGTTCATTTCAAACCTTTATTGTTGTCTGTCTTTGTGTTGTTGTTGAATCACTCCAGCTACTCTGGCCTGCAAGAGTCTACTTGTGAAAAGCACTGGTACAAATGCTTGTATAACTTTACACGTTAGGGCCATGTAGCTAATAAGTAGCATATCATAAATATAACATCAGAAAGTATTTATCAAACGCACACAGGCAGCTGTGTTCAGACCCAGTTTGACGGTAAAGGATGTATCCTGGTTTCATTGATCTGGCCCAGGGCTGGACTGGGACAGCAAATCGGCCCTGGCATTTAGACCCAGACCGGCCCAAATCCATAAAACAAACGAATAGTAGCGGTTCCTGACAAGAAGAATAACTCAGTATAATTTTAAAAAACGCTATTATCCTTTTTACGTACCAGGGGCAAACAAAACTAATACATACCACAAGTATGTGTAACTATCAATCATTAGAAATTAGACCTTCAAACCCTCTCACAAAGCGAACAGTGACCGAGCACTAATAGGGGGGTCTGGTGGGGTATGCCCCCCCCAGAAGATTTTTTTTTTAAATAACCCCTTAAATTATGACTTCTAGTGAATTTAGGGGGGGGGGGGGACCCTATAGTGCCCTGCCTCCCCTTTCTATGACAACACAATAGAGATAAGACCAGATGAGTCTACAGGATGAGTCGACGGCATCTTTTTATATACATTGACGCTTTCATTTAATTTTTCCATCCTTTTTTTAATCGCTGTAATTGTATTGCCTTTTTCATCTGTACACACGACACCTATTGCACGTCTGTCCGTCCTGGGAGAGGGATCCCTCTTCTGTTGCTCTCACAGAGGTTTCTTCCTACTTCCCACTGTTAATTGTGAGGTCTGTTTTGGGGAGTTTTTCCTTGAGCGCTGCAAGGGTCTAAGGACAGAGGATGTCGTACCTGTACACACTGTGAAGCCCTCTGAGACAAATTGTAATTTGTGATATTGGGCTATATAAATAAAATGTGATTGATTGACGCACGCAAGGGGCTATAGTGCAAGTCTTAGGCGGCTGGTTTCTCAGAACCTCACAGAGCACACAGAACTGAAGGAACACAGGCTTAACCAAAAATACTATCCACTGTCTTTATTTTTTTTCCTGAGAATAGGTTTGAAAGAGACAGATTTAAATTTACAAAGAGAGTTGAAGCAACATTTGACAGAAATCCCACATAAATTACAAAAGTACACAACTAGCAAGATATATATACTGTATATATATACTGTACACACAAAGTAACTTATATACTAGACTGAAATAACTCAAATGAATGCTTGTTGTGGAGAGGGGCACTATGTCCAGCGTCCATTCCTCGGTGTGTGTGTGTGTGTGTGTGTGTGTGTGTGTGTGTGTGTGTGTGTGTGTGTGTGTGTGTGTGTGTGTGTGTGTGTGTGTGTGTGTGTGTGTGTGTGTGTGTGTGTGTTTGCATGTGTGAGTGTAGTTGGGGGGGTTTGGGAGAGTCAAAAAGGATGCAGGTGACCTCTTTGGTCCCTGATAGAGGTCCATACAAATAGGCATTGACATAACAATACCACACAGTTAATGGTCAAAGCTACATGTGTGCCTCAATTTTTTTTATCTATTTCTATATTATTCATTCTATATATTGTCAATCAAAACTACCACAAAAAGCTGACTATAAACATTTTTTTCAGGTCCCAAAAGACCACTTATACCTTATAACCACATAAGTAAATAAACTAAACAAAACAAGCTGCCATCTGACAGTAATTGTTCATGAATGGTGGTTAACAAAATAATGACATTCTTTCAATGAGACAACGTATCAGAGTCCCATTAAGCTATATTTTAACTTGCCAGGGAAAACCTAAAAAAAGCCAGCTTACTAGCTTGTAGGCTAACGAATGTTTCTCTTATAATATTTGTCTTATTAGTGCTTCATCAAGGGGATATTAATGGGTTCCAGAACTACAGAGTATCATAACCTTAATAATAATCTTTTCCTAATTTTCTTAGCTTCTGCTTACCGCGAGTTCTCCTCCCTCTCCTCACTCGCGCTGATCTCTCTCCCTCTCATCATCTTCCTCACCACCAATATCGGCCACGGGTGCTGAAGATGGACCTGCACCTGTACTAAACATGTCGGTTATTTTGACACAAGCGGCAGCATCAGCACGAAGGGCCTGCTTTTTTCTTGCCTCGAAAAAAAAGGCAGTTTTGCTTCAACGGCCGGCTCACCTCCTGGGGGCGTGATTTAATGATGCACACCGAGCGGCCCAAAGGGGGAGGTGATTAAAGATTTGATTGGGCCGGCCCAGTGTCAATTACTTAAAACATTTAAACAGAGGGCCAATCTACCCGTCTTATGGGCCGTGACTTCAGAAAAAAAAAAAATGACGTGTCGGCCCAAAAGGCACGTCGGCCCACCGGGAAAATGCCCGGTATGCCAGATGGCCAGTCCAGCCCTGATCTGGCCTCATTGCTGTGATGTGTAGTTTACGTGGATTTTACCGTACCGCATAGTTTAGCAAAGTGATCGATCTCCCAGCTAGCGCTGTCTGTGTAGTATTTTGTAACGTAACGCCCCAAACAGCGACCGTCTGTTAAACGCTATCGATTCAAACAGCTGCGTTTTATTAATATTTAGTTTCAAGCTCTCGTCCTTAGTAAAAACAAAACTAGTGGAAGGGGAAATGCTCCCAGGGGAAGCTGATCCACCTTCAGGTGCTGGGACAGCTCGCTCCCTCTCTGCAGCTCTGTGAGCCGCGGTCTGTGTGAACGCCGCTCCGCAGTTTAATGCAGGGCCGTAGCTGCGTTTTTAACGGGCCTAAGTAAGATGATATTTAAAATGATTCACTTTTAATTAATGAACTGCTTGTTTCTTTGCTTGAGAAGCCTGTGGACAGAGTGTAGGTTTGTTTTAGTACAGTTTTAGGGAAACAAAAGTTAGGGGGGCAGCTGGGGGGGCAAGGCTCTCCAGTGGGGAGGCAGCTGCCCCCCTTGCCCCCCCGTAGATCCGCCCCTGGGCGAGACACACTCAAGACAAAAACAATGACTTCCCCTCCGGGTGTTTTCAGGTTAAAGACGAGAAACACGAGTGTACGTTGGGCGTTTTGACGGTGCCGCTGACTCGCCTTCTGGAGGCCGAAGAAATTACCTTAAAGTGGACCTATCATGCTATATTTGAATAATATAGTGTAGGACCATACCTATATAAGGCATATTTATACTTTTTTTTTTCAAAATACCAAACAGATCATGCATTTTAGCCATGCCTCATTTTCCTCAATTTGACATTTTGTAGCTCTGTTTTTGAAAGGGCAGATTCAGTGAGAACAGCACCATCTACAGGCCTGGCATATGTACTACAGCGTCTCCAGCGCTTTCGAACGGCAATGGCTGTGGCTGTCTCCTCCTGATTGGTGGAGTTGGCCCAATAGCCGTAGCGCCACTGTCCTGACGTCAGGACAGTGTTCAAATCTGGATCAGTTTTGATCAGATCCGTTGCAGCCCCTTTTTTAGAGATTTGGGTATGGAGGAAAATAGAGAGGGTTGTGTTTTCTGACACTTGGTGAGTTCCCTGGAACACCGGGGACACATATTCATGTATAAAAGATGTACAAAAGTGCATTTTGCATGATAGGTCCCCTTTAAATCAGCGTTTCCCCCTCAAGAACTCCGGCCCGAGCTGCACGCTGAAGATGAAGATGGCTCTGAGGGTAAGATAAGATAAGAAGTACTTTATTGATCCCAATTTGGGAAATGTTTGGCACAAGGCATTGCACATTATTATATAACACAGATTCTACACTGATTCTGATTCTGTTTTAATCTCAGGTGCTGAGCTTGGAGAAAAACCCTCCCTCCTCCCCCTCCCCCTCTTCGGTGCAGGTCAACACACCGAAGACGGGGTGTTGACCCCCTCAAGCTGCCCCTCCTTACGAGAGATAGCAGCAATACCCAAGGCCGTAGAACTATGCCATGGGAAAAGAGACAGTGAGAGGAGAAAATGATGAACTGTGTCGAAGGTTGAATACCTAAGCAAATTATTCCCTAACAGTGAGCATTTGGTGAGGGATATTGTCAGATATCTGGAACAAACTCCCAGAAACCTGCAGGTCCGCTGCAACTCTGACTACTTTGAAATCCAGGCTGAAGACTTTGTAACTTTTATTTATGTTTTATTATCTTTGCTTTTTAATGTTTCTAATGTGTTTTATGCTCTTAATGTTTTTGATTTTTCCCAGGAATAGTTCCCGGAACTTTTATTTCCTGGAACTATCTAGTAAATCGTGTTCACACCGGAATAAGTCCCTGAGGGAGCCGCTGACGTCACTTCTTCTTCTTCTGCTTTGGGTTTACTGGCAGGCCGCAAACAACTTCACGGCGTATACTGCCACCCGAAGTCCCCGGCCGGAAGTCCCCGGAGTTGGGGACTGGCTTCAGTAGAAGCTGCTGGGACTCCCTGCAGCTTCTACTGAAGCCTTCCGAGTAAATCGCCAGAAGCGCAGACACCTCCTCATCACTCCACCGCTCCGCTTTCTTTTGTGTTGCCATAAGTTAGTCTCTCTCCGTTTGTGCGCTGGGCTAATGCTAATGCTAATAATGCTAATGCGAGCAAATAAAATGGCGGCTTCACAAAAACTTTTCAGAGTTTTACGGGGCGTGGTTTGCAATTCGCCCAGCCAATCAGAAATGGGAACCTTTTCCTCCCCAGGAAAGTACCTGCTCTCTAGCAGGCACTAAAAAGGGGTGAAAAGGTTCTCAATTTTTTTTTCAGAACTATTCCTGGGAAAAGTACTCCGGTGTGAAAGCGCCTTGTGCTTTTAAACGTAGTATTTTAGCAGCTGATGATTGGTAATGTTTCCTCTCCTCCTCAGCTATGAGTTCAGTGTGTCTCTCGTGGAGCTCCACAGACGCACTCTGGACGTCGCGGTGAAGAACGGAGGAGGACTGCTCTCCAAACACAAAGGCCTTCTGGGAAAGGTACGCTCTCTCACTACAGATTCTACACGCTTCATTAAATACAGAAATGTCTTGAAATCAATCCAATTATCTATAAAGCAGTCTTTGTTTGAGGATTATGGATTTAAATCTTGAGTTTTGACAATATTCCAGTTTGTTCATCTACCTGAAATAGTGTTACAAGAGTATCTTCAAGGATGGTAGATTATTCTGCTCATGTCATATTTCAACTGTTTGCAGTCTTTTAAACACTTGATTTAGCATTTTTAAATAAGCTCTGTTGTCTTTTCTCCTCAGGTTCTGGTGGATTTGACGTACGAGGACACGTCTAAGGGTTGGACACAATGGTGAGTGATTGATATCTCACTTATTATTTATATAACTCTGATCATACAAATATGAAGACCAACAAACAGCTCAGTTTCATGTATGTTGTTAAGAAATCTTTGAATAAAAATAAAAGCATGTATCTGTCAGATTTCCAAAATAAAAGCATGGATCTGTCAGATTTTCTAAATAAAAGCATGTATCTGTCAGACTTCCAAAATAAAAGCATGTATCTGTCAGATTTCCAAACAAAAAGCATGTATCTGTCAGATTTCCAGATTTTCAAAATAAAAGCATGTATCTGTCAGACTTCCAAAATAAAAGCATGTATCTGTCAGATTTCCAAAATAAAAGCATGTATCTGTCAGATTTCCAAAATAAAAGCATGGATCTGTCAGATTTCCAAAATAAAAGCATGTATCTGTCAGATTTCCAAAATAAAAGCGTGGATCTGTCCGATTTTCAAAATAAAAGCTTCTCTTTCTCCTCCTGCAGGTATGAGCTGAGTGAAGATGGTCTGACGAAACCTCAACAACTATAGAGCGAAACAACCATCACAATCACCATCATCATCATCATCACAATCATCATCACCACAACCATCATCATCATCATCATCATTATCACCACAATGATACGAGACATCTATTATTTTTACTAAGTCTACAAAGTAAAGAAGAAGCAGCTTTGATCCATTTAACCACATCAGTCGCAAGGCAGACCTCCCCTTTAAGAAGAGCCAGGCTTTAAAGGGAGTATTCCACATGTAGAATATTCAATATATCACCAATACTACCATGTACTGCTGTGGAAAATATATTCCATATTTATAGGAGAATATAAATACCAGCTGTAGATGAAGACAATCTATTTTTTTGCGGTAAAATATGTAAAAGTTTGTAAATATATAAACGATGACGCTCGACTAAAGAGGGCGCCGTGTTTGAGACAGATTCAGGCCAAATGATTGTTTGTCGTTTTCTTTGATTTCTTTGAAAACATTCTAGACGCCACCAAAGAGACGAGAAGTCATTTTTTGTATTCTCTTCCCTCGTTTGCTTTCCTCTGGTTTAATTCCACTTTGATAACATGTGTTTAAAACATCTTAAAGATAAGTATAAGTACACACAGGGGCGCCGCTTGCAAAGAGGCAAGGCAGGGCTTGGGGCCCCGGACCAGAAGGGGGCCCCCAAAGAAGGTAGATTAAGAAGGTCCACAACATGAAACACCCTTTCATTTACTGCAAGGACATGTCGGGAAACTCCCTCAAGGCGGCCCCATGCATAGCGCGCCGTAAAATGCTGCTTCTTATTTTAAGTTTCGTTGCCTTGCTCCGCTCTGGGGGGGGGGGGGGGGGGAGAAGAGTGTGTTGGGGCGCCACTGATGGCTGGTTTCGTGGGGCCCCCAGTGAATTATTGCCTAGGGCCCCCACAGACTCTAGAATCGCCACTGAGTACACAAAAGGTGTGTTGAATCCACAGTTTTTGTATCCGGTAATACACCTGTTGTTATTCTAGAATAAGGCCATTGTTATTGTTTTTAAAGCTGAATATATATTTTGCATCTATCTGGGATCATCAGTCGGTTTTAGCGAGTAGTTCTTATCTCAAATTAAGAGTATTTATAATTGAAAAAATGCCAAATTAGAGAGTCATGTATTGCAATTATATAAATAACATATTTATGGAGTAGTGATCCCTTCCTTTATGAGAAAAGACCTATTTTTTCTGTTAAATATGAAAGTTAGAAGTTGAAAACAGACAGATTTATCCGTATTTCCCCAAATATTAGTATTGCAATTATCACGCATATTTTCTTCATTTATCTAAAGCCACTATGTATAAAAACACATTTTATACACATTTATAGTATTGTCATGTTCCCCGATTAATGTGTATCATAAAGAAACCATCAATTCCTGTCGGCTTTTCACAATAAGATATCTCCAGTTTTTTGTCTTTTATTCTGAAAATACAGGAATAAATCAGTGAATAAAGACACTGCTTGTGATGTGATTAATGTGTAGCTATCCTAAAGAAAACATCACTTCCTGTCGGTTTTTCACAATAAAAGATATCCAGTTTTTTGTTTATTTGAATATCTTTTATTTTGAAAATACAGGAATAAACCAGTGAATAAAGACAGTGTTCGTGATGTTTAAATTACAGAAGAAATCTAATAAAAGTGGCTTGAAAAACTGATACAATTGGGAAAAAATGACATTAACAAAATGTACACATTAACAGTTTACACTTTAAATTTACACCAAAAATATTCCTAGTACAAATATATGTTTGCACCACTTTTCACATTAATAAAAACACTTCTGATTGCTTTTTTATTTTTAAAAAGCTTTTTAATACACAAAAAAGTACATTTAAAAAATTCACATTGGTCCCCAAACTAAGAGAAATTATCTGCAACACAAAAAAATGTCCCCTTTTTGTAACATTGTCAAAAATATGCGAAAGATAAGCTTTATTTACTGGCCAATAAATATGGACAAATAATGGCTTTAAAAATAAAGAAAAAGATGACGACAAAATCTTCTGAAAAATATCAAATAATTACAAATAAATCCACAAATAACTACTTTTAAAATTGAGAAAATTGGAATTAATTGACATCTCATAAAATTAGAAATAAGGTCTAAAAAAATGTGCTTTTTCTTTTCTTTTTTTTTAGTTAGTCACCATTTCAGTCTGGGTTTATATCGTCAAGAGTTCCGCTATAATCAAGTTTTCCACATGTTGTTTATGAATCAACATGAGTCTTAACGTGTCAATAATACGTGTCATTTTTAGGTCTTGAAATTGTTGAAATTCACGTTTACTTATTATTTTATTTGGTGTACATATATTTGTTACCGCGCATATCATGTTTAAAAACTGCATTGTTTTCACAGCACTTGCTCAAAAGGGATTTATATCAAACTACAACATAAATGTTAGTATTTAAAACAGTAAATAATATCGTTTCTTTTCAAATACACTCTCTTGCCATCAAGAAAGTATTTTACGCACATGTATGAACGCTCTGTTATGTATGTAATGTTTTATTACGTGTATTTTGCAGCTGTCACCCATTTCTCTTCCTTGTTCCTGTTTTATTTTGAAAGGATCAAACTGTTTTCTCTTTTGGATGCGAGAGCTTCTCTGAAAGGCGGTTTTGTTGTTCCCCGTCTTCTTAATTTATCTTGTGCCTTAAGAGATATTTACGTGTATAAAAAAATAAGAAGATGCTTCAACGGTTTTTCCTCATGTGTCACAATGTCTCCTAAATGTCTTTTAAAAACAAATAAAGAGCTTTAGCTGGCTGTAGCAGCATGGAGCTGTACAGCACTGTGTTTCTCATCATTTCTGTATTCATCATTGCACTCCTATTGGCTAGCGCTCCAACACATTGTACGTGATAGGCTAAGGGGCGGGACATCTCTAAGCGGTCGACCAATCACAACTGAACATTAAAGCATGGAGACATGTCCCAGTAGAGACACTACATACTGATATACACCTGAACATCAGCAGGAGAGTACTCTTTAAAGTAGAGACACTACATACTGATATACACCTGAACATCAGCAGGAGAGGACTCTTTAAAGTAGAGACACTACATACTGATATACACCTGAACATCAGCAGGAGAGGACTATTTAAAGTAGAGACACTACATACTGATATACACCTGAACATCATGAGGAGAGGACTTTTTAAAGTAGAGACACTACATACTGATATACACCTGAACATCAGCAGGAGAGGACTATTTAAAGTAGAGACACTACATACTGATATACACCTGAACATCAGCAGGAGAGGACTATTTAAAGTAGAGACACTACATACTGATATACACCTGAACATCAGCAGGAGAGGACTCTTTAAAGTAGAGACACTACATACTGATATACACCTGAACATCAGGAGAGGACTCTTTAAAGTAGAGACACTACATACTGATATACACCTGAACATCAGCAGGAGAGGACTCTTTAAAGTAGAGACACTACATACTGATATACACCTGAACATCAGCAGGAGAGGACTCTTTAAAGTAGAGACACTACATACTGATATACACCTGAACATCAGCAGGAGAGCACTCTTTAAAGTAGAGACACTACATACTGATATACACCTGATATTCATATCAAAAATCCAAAGGAGCACAAAAATAACAGCAGGAAACCTCCATTTGAAAAACAGCTGCAGTTTACTTTATTTTTAACCTTTTGAAATAAAATCTCAGAAATCAGAAAAATGCTCAATTTAATTTCTGAGGTGTTGTTTTTTTTTGGCAACTAGACTTCATCACTTATGTTGCTCTCACAGCAAAAATGCATTCATGACACAATCTTAATTGTGTTTATAAAAGATTTAAGGGTAATTCAGGTTTATTTAAAATAATGTCCCTTTTTTTTAACCATTAAAAGTCCAAATTACATCTTAAATAATTCATATTTCACCTTAAGTATCACACTCTGCTCTCATTACACCAGACCCATGTTTAGACACTGATGTTTTTAGGCCCACTACATTTCATATTACAACTTGGCATATTTGTATTGCAGACTACTTATCCGTAAGGGAATACAGAATACAGTACACAGAAATGCAATAGCACAATGTACTGTTTGGGGCTGATAATAGAGGTAGAGTAGCTCTGTTTTACGACTTACAATGCTTGACAGAAACCCTGCACACTCCCAGATAACACAGATAAGAATTCAAGTAGGCTATATTATATGTAATGCAGAACAACTTTCATGGCTGTATGAATGTAAAAGATGGTGTTTTAGTATATTAAAAAGTCACTGAATGAAGAACTGGACAAAGTTCTTGCTGCTGTGTGCAGGTAACTGTGTTATTTCATCAACAATGTTACTTGCAAGAAGTGTGCAGGAAAGGGTTAACAAAGGGTTAAAGAAGTCAGCAAAACAGCCCCCAACACTTTGTTTTCCCTCAGTGGGATTGCCTTGTAGCCTCACTAACTTATTAGAAGGACTTTGGAACAGGGTAATAGTCCTCTGCCACGTTGCCACTATAAAACCCTGATGAGCTATCCGTCTTCTTCCTGCTCTCATGCATATTTAAACTTATAAAACATATCTCAGTGGTGACCACTCCTCATCGATGGTGGGCGGTGACGTAGGGAGGGAACTTCCCTCCTCTTTGTCATTGTCTTAGTTTCTCTGATTAGATCATCTCTCTGAGTGAATCTTAAATGTATGTGTGATCAACAGATGCTTTTTTAGGGTGAGATGGTTTTGCATACAGTGACAGAGGGTATCAGCTGCTATGACAAAGCTTGTAGGTGTAATTTCTAACACCTCCCCTTCTCAGGTTGCAACGAGTAACAGGTTAAATGAGAAAGCTGTTTCCTCATTCTCTGCATTGAGTGAGCAAAAGCAGGAGGAGGGAGATTTGTCGTCCGTCAGAGATTGTTTCTGTTCAGAGAAAGTGGATATTTTACCTTCTGTCTGCAGTCCGTAACTATCACTGAGAGGTGAGATGGCACATGGAGGAGTTCAGCTGGACCGTGAAACCTTCTCTTGTTCGATCTGTCTGGATCTACTGAAGGATCCGGTCACTATTCCCTGTGGACACAGCTACTGCATGGACTGTATCAAACACCACTGGGATGGAGAGCTAAGCCACAGCTGCCCTCAGTGTAGAAAGATCTTCAAACCGAGGCCTGTCCTGCTGAAAAGCACCATGTTAGCAGATTTAATGGAGGAGCTGAAGAAGACTGGACTCCAAGCTGCTCCTGCTGATCACTGCTATGCTGGAGCTGAAGATGTGGCCTGTGATGTCTGCACTGGGAGAAAACTGAGAGCCTGTAAGTCCTGTCTGCAGTGTCTGGCCTCTTATTGTGACGAACACCTCCAGCCTCATTATGACGCAGCTACGTTTAAAAAACACAAGCTGGTGGAGCCCTCCAAGAAGCTCCAGGAGAACATCTGCTCTCGTCACGACGAGGTGATGATGTTCTGCCGCACTGATCAGCAGTGTATCTGTTATCTCTGCTCTGTGGACGAACACAAAGGCCACGACACGGTGTCAGCTGCAGAGCCCACCACCAGAGCTGGGTTCTTACAATATTCACAGGGAATCACACTGGATCCAAACACAACATACACAGAGCTGTTATTATCTGAGCGGAGCAGAAAAGCAACATTCATGAAACAACATCAGTCTTATTCTAGTCACCCAGACAGATTCACTGTATATTCTCAGGT